CACAGTCACTGTGAAAAAAACTTGTAGGCAGACACAAGAGTAAACACACCTGACATTATGTTTAGTGCCTCTTTTCTTCAATCAACTTAGAGTCTCACATTTAAGAGTTTGGGAATCCTAATTTAGTTAAGCAGGTCATTAACTTTGAAGTGAAGTACTTTAGTGGTCCAAATAAAGATACCAACAAATTCCTGACTGAGAAAAGTCTTGGACAACATCTCTTTCTATTTCACTAAATATAAACATATGCAATTTGCAGCATCTAATGAGACCATGATAAAACAACTTTCCTCCTGAAATTATATGCACTCTATTTGTTATTAACTAACAAAAAGTACAGATTTTCAATTTTGTAAGTACATTTCCTTAAGAAGACTTGTGCTTAGTCATAACGCTTCAACAATTAACTATTTCCATTAGGATTAGAAATGTTTCTTGGTTTGAAACCCCTTTTAATTTTCGTATTCTAAGCAAACACAACCAGAGGTTGATAATTTAGCAAGAAAATTCAGAAGAGCTGCACGTCGAAAAACTCCCATATAGCATCAAAAAGTTGTAAAGATCTTCATTACACCTAAGCCACTAGCATATTAAGATATTTGAAAGTACAACCATACTGAGACAGGGAAAACTGATACAAGCACAGATCCTGGAAAGCTCTCCCTTTCTTGGTATCCACATGAGAACTTCCAAAAATTCGGAAAATATATGTATATATGTATATGTATATATATATATGCACACGTTGCTGGGCTAAACCTCCCAGTTTTACATTTGCCTCCTTACACTTGCCAGCACTTGCTGATCTTTGACTAACTCGTGAAATAAAGGAGAAAGATTTTAATGCAAAAGTTATCATTATAGTAATTATAGACAACCGATGATTTATTGTTAATTAAAATATACTAATTCCTTTTCATTCCTCTGAAGCCCCCAAGTTCTTCTTCAGTTTAGTTACATTTTCCACAGAGTCACCAGGGAATTCGCTGCGCATTGATCTTCCCTCTGGGAAAGCTCCGCGCGGCTTCCTCAGGCCTCCTCTCATTCCAACTGAAACGCTAGAAAGCTGCGCCAGGGAGAATCCCTTGGGAGAGGGGCATAAACAAACTGAAATTGCAGTTATGATTAAAACAACACAAAAGATACACATTGCAGCTAATTCCTGAGATAATTACTCGGTTTAAAGTGCTACCACAAAAATCCTCCTGGGTCTCTATTAAACTGCTGCTCTGCAGCGGTGACAGTATACACAGAAAATGCTTCAGTTTTTTCTCTTTCCCATCTCATTTGCCTAGTTTTTGGTACTCATACACTGCAATATATATTAAATTAGTGGCACAAATAGTCAGCAAATATTTGCCATATCATTAGTTAGTTTCATCTCTTGAGACAAAGGCACTTCTTGTTTTTGCTCCTCACACAGCATCAGTACTGGGGAGTGGGGAATTTTAATTTCCCACAATGACACCCTTAATCAACGTACTTTCGTTTTTCTTTGAAAAACCCTGCATCCCAAGAACATCAGAATACACCAAGAACAAATTTAGTCCCAGTTTCTGTGCTAGTAGAATGAGTTACAGTCCTCCTTATGGCCCCAAAAATAAGGACTGAGGAATTGAATATTTTCTCGAATATTCAGAACATCCACTGAAAAGCGAAACATTCTCTAGGGCCTCGCAACACTCAGGCATGCTGCCCAGCACGCTGCTGCCAACTTAATGACATGTTTGCAAGACATCATTTCCTCTGCTAAAGCTTTCATACAGGTTTTCAAGCAGTCAACGTAAAGCCTTTTCCCTTGGAAACTCTGGAGAACCTACTGGAGATCCCAACTTGTGGTAACTCCTAATACAAGTCAACATCCTCTGCGAATCGAGCTTGTCTTTTTTTTTGGCATATATTAAAAAAAGAAATACAGTACACAATTCCCAAATATTATTAATGCTACACTTGTAGAAGCAAGAAATGTTCAGCCTGTTTAATCCAAGGCTAAATCTGCAGAACGCTCTATAGGCTGCAGTGCTGTTTAAGCTGTTGCTACGTATTCGGCAGCATTCTCCAGACAAGACCCCATCGTTGGGGAGCACCTCTAGTTTTCACAGCCAAGCTGTATCTCGGAGTAGGCTCTGACAGACCTCATTTCTCTTCCTCTCACTTCTGCACTCTTGCAAATAACTTCCAACCTACCCAGAAGACATTTTTGACAACTTGACATTCTTCACTCTTTTGGCATTGCCTTCTGCATTGTTTCACTTCCTCAGATATTATTTTCTTAAAACAGGTTAGAGTTGTGTAGTAAACAGATACTTCAGGGCTTGGGATGATAGAATGGGGAAAAAAGTCTTCTAAAGATTTAATGATCAAAATAACTCTCTGGGAAAAGATAAAAAAAAAAAGAACAAAAGAAAAAAGAAATGAAGATTTTCCCCAGAAATATTTTGCACATTTTTTTTTTAATTTAGCTAAACCACCTACTGCCCCAGAATCATGCTTCTGAAAAGCAAGTATTTAGTAAGCCTTTTATCTTGGTCATGCCGTGTGGACAATTTACAGATTTAACAATGGAACCTTCCCATATCACGCCAAGCGTGTCACACACACTGTAAAGAAAGAAGCTAAAACAGGGACTCCTGAATTCTGCTCCAGTCGCTGTCCCCCACTTGCTGGCGGATTCCTCGGGTTCGGTCCTGTTCCTCTGCAAGCTCCTTTGGCTACCCAGCGTTGCAGGACGAGTGATGCCTCCACTGAAATGAGGGATTCTCAGTATCGCAAGTTAAGTGCCTGTGAAAGCACTGCTCAAATTCTACATCTTCCTCCCTGCTGTATTTTCAGGGGGGCTATTAACACAAGAGAGGCATGCACAGTATCTACTTCGAGATTTTTGTCATTAAAATATGCCTGCTAGGAAACTTAATTTGACGCATATATTACACTTCCTGTGATTACAATGAGTGCCACATACTGGTATTAGGAACAGCTGCGAAGCAAGAGCCAAGCTAATGTTGTAGCTAAGGAACAAAACCAGTTTAATCCAGGGAAGACCTCTCCTAGGATTGCATCAGCTCGCATCAAGCTGTTCCCAACAGCTGAAAACACACATGAAAGTGAAGCAGCTTTGCAAAGCAGTCCAATACGGAGACCATAGCCTTTCTTTAATTCTAGACTGGTTCATTTAGCTTTTTGAAGCTAAATAATAAAGGCTCTATCTCATATAAGATTGCTTAACAGGTTGACTCTAAGCCTACATATTAAAATATTAAAGCTACCTATTAGAACTTAGCACGCCTCTATAGATTTGCAGAAGACTGTTAGATAAATGCAGAATGTAAATAAAAAGGGCTCTTAGGAGTCATAAAAAGAAATATCTAGTGAGAGATCAAGAATTCAGTAACTGCTACTGTCTTTCCACACATGTGTTATATACAGGTATTTACCAGATATTAAGACTTCATAGAACCACATGTAACTGCACAAACTCATACAAACTTACATGCAGCTAGATTTACACCCCTCCTTTCCTGTCCTGTATAAGCTAACGTTGCTGAGAGGTATGGTAAAGAATATGTAGTGGCCACACGGCCACTACAGTGTGTGAGCTGCAAATCTAATCATGACCTTTGATGGCAATGACACAGGCCTCCAGGTACTAGAAAATACTTGAAAGAATTCCAGAAATTTCCAGAAGAGAGATTTCTGCTCGTGTGCCCAAGCTATTTCTGAGTTGCACACTGTGCATTAGTCTTGACTTCACTGATGCAGCATCAGATATTAATCAGCACAATTTCTGGTTCATTATCTTCAAAGTTAATTTTAGCAAGCTCTGTTCCTTCCCTCATTCCCAAAGTTGAAACTGAACGATTAAAATAAAATCTCATCCCACACTGAGGGACCGCTGCCCACTTGCTCACAAGATAAACATAAATGCTTACTAGTAGGAAAAACTTGCATTTGGGTCCAAGAGAAAAAAAAAAAATCTAAAAAATACTTCTTTAGTCAGATCTATGGTATATTTTGCTGGTCCTCCACTCATCTTTTCACACTATTTCAAAAACCGCCCAGCTGTTACTAGATACTGTTCTTGCTGACACCAAGTTAAGTGAAACGGTTGCCGTTCACAACTTGCCCCAACTGCTTGCTACCGTCTTCTTTCTCTGCAGGATGCTGCTTCCTCAGAGCTGCATGCAGCAGCTTCTGGTGCCAACCAAAATGTTCAGAATCAGCTTAATCTTTTTTAAAATGCAGGCTGTTTGATGGAGCCAACCAAAGGAGAAGCTACAAATGCCATTCTGCTGTCAGGCTGACATGCAGTAACCTCTAGCAGGACGTGAAGAGCAGCTGAGGCAGGTTTGGAGTTGAAGTTTTTTCACAAAGCTCAGCTGCAACCAACACTGGGTTTCGGATCACTGCCTTAAAGTTTTGCAAGATAGATGAATGGAAAAACATCACAGATACAATAGTAAACACTTTTAGAGATTAGTTATGGCTCTAAAAAAGATCTGTTGTGAGTAAATAAAGAAATAATGACACTGTGTTTTCCTATACTATGTTATATTAATAAAATAGCTAAATAAAATACTAAGCCAAAATTCTTACACACAGAAAATGGGTACATTTAACAAAGCTTGTACATGTACGTGAGAAGATAGATTGATTCTGGGATCTCCCCCATTTCTGCCATGGAGTAGCTGATCTCAAGCTCTTAATTAATGTAGCAGCATTTAACAATTACAAGAACAGTCCCTTAAGGAGACAGCCTGGAGGGTTTCCCTTGGAACTGCTAATTCCTTCCCTTCCATGACACTTTAGGCAACCACAGTTGGGTGCATCTAAAATCCAAGAGTGCAGCTGTTGCCATGTCTCACAGACCCCGTGTGGAAAAATGAACATAAGTTTAGCCCTTTGAATGCTTATCTAACCAAGGCTGATGATTTAGTTCAATCAAATGATAGCTAGAGTTGGTGCTGCTGCAGAGAGTAAGGAAATACTGAATTCACCTTGTTTCTTGAGCTCCAGACCTGGGTTCTAGTCGGATGACTTTCCTTCTCCTTTCAGGTTACTTCAAATAAAATTCATCTCTGCTCATTTCACAACACCTGGAAATGAAAAACAGGATTGTACTGGGATGGTATAGGAAATAAAAAAAAAAAAATCAATTTGGTCCCTTTTAAGAAACTTGATAAGGAGGTGTTTATAAGCCTGTTTCTGCATAGGAAGATCATAAATTCCAGAAGGGAATATCAAAACATATGCAGAATAATGTCACTGCAGTGCTAATTCTGCATCTTTAATCCTTCAAACAAACAAACAAGGCAGGTAATCACCAATAAACACCACAGCTATCCCATCTTTTCTTTCTCCACTGTAAATAGTTCAAACACACGGCACGCATCTTCCATAGAAAAGAAAGAAAACGAAAGACTGAAGTATTTACTTTCAAAATTTCTGAGTGGAACACACTCTAGTTTGATTTCTAGGCTGCAAAAAAAACAGGATTCTTTTTTTCTCATTCAGAAATGCAGAAATAAATTGTGGCCTTCTAGAAGATACTGCATCAGCAAAAAATGACCCAGTCCTCTAAGAAATAGAAACATTTCCTTATTTTGAAGCAGCCACCAGAGCTGGTTGTTGAACGCAATTACGATTCCACCAAGTGCCATCTGATATCTTCAGAAGTGCTTGGGAGAAGATGAAATAAAATATTCCATATGAAAAGGAAATAATCTCACTAAGGTGATGCAGAGTCTCTCCTTGGGTGAGAGCACATCCCACACTCCAGATAAAGAAAATTTAAAACATTAAATTTCAATGATGGAATCATCTTAGAGAAGTCATTGAAAAATATTTTTCTATTACAAACATACTGTGCTATAGCTTGAAGTAGACAACCTTATAACATGGCATTATCCTGCCTGAAAAGGATCACAAGTAATGAAAAAGATGGTATCATCTCGGTTAAGGCAACGTCCACATTGTTTTCACTATCTGTATGTAAGAGACCTATCTTTTTTCACAGTATTTAGCATATGCCAAGGGGAGATAATAATAAAGTTGTTGGAGTTTTCTCCAAAGGCTGTGCAATGCTCCACAAGTGCAGCATTTGCTTGGCATGATCTAACGCAGCTGTCTCAGAAGTTAGGAAAATGTCCAACACAGGGAGAAGGCAAGTAGCAGGCTCAGGCCTTAAGGGTGGCTGGGGCCAGATAGCCCAACACACCAAGGAAAATACAACCAAGGAGGGTTTTCTGGCAGACGAGTCTGCAAATTATTATTCTCAACAGTACTAGCACATAGGTGGAAGGGGAAAAATCCTAAACTCAACCAAGCTCTCCCTCTACATTAACAGCTAACATTTAATATCTAACTCTCTAACCTGGACCTTGGATTACAGAAGTCAGTGGAGGACGTTAGCGTACCAGGTAATTGGAAATGAGTAAAACCCATACTACATGGGTACACCAGGTATTTTGTGCTTTATTATTATTATGTGACAAATAATTGAACAGCCTAAAACTACTGTGATTATTTTCCCCCAACTAATCGCCTCGAAGTCTCCCTGTCCAATTTACTCACGTTTCATTCAGGATTATTCCTGACCTGCTTCTCTTTACACCTTACCTACTTCAGAGTAGAATTTAGGGTTTTTTCTTTATTTTTTTTTTTTTGTAGGAGTGGAATTTCACTTTATAACTTCCTCATACAATTACAGAAATATTCTTACAAAAATGGCCTTACTGTATACATGCAGCCTTCAAATATGACAAAAAGGAACAGTCAACAACTATAGTTCTTTCTCGCGCCAAGACCATCAGAGGGGTGTATTGCCCAAGATTTGGAATAACCAGATTTGCTACCCGTGATACCACTACCGCCCTGCAGCCACCTTGCTGTAGATGTGGAGATCACCTAGCCCAAACTCCTCCTCCCCGCGAGCAGAGCGAGCTGCCAGGTTACACTGGGCCGCTCACCCTCTGCTGGAGTTGTGAAAACCTCCAAGGAGGGAGGTTCGTCCCCGCGCAACTGAGTAAGGCCAGGCCGGGTGCAGGGCCTTGCTGAGCTGTGCGTCTACAGGGCATCTAAGGAACGTGTGAAGACAGACAGTCCTGCTCTAAGAAACGTCAGCCTTGAATAGATGAGACAGGCAGAGGTAAGATGAAAAATAACTGTTCAAAAAAAGTAAGCTATTAAAAGAAAAAAAAAATGACTGAAGAGAGGGCAGTAGGAAGTTAGTTTGGGGCAGGATTTGAAAGGAGCATGAGATAAATAGGAATTCAGGAACTCCTGGTCGAGCTTGGGAGGCAGGTAATTGAACAGCACAAATCCAGAGACGAGTGACAAATGCTGCAAGAGAGGATTGCCTGGCTACAAGGAGTAAGAACTGAAGACAGATTGGAACAAAATAAGATTATGTACAATTTTAGGCATGCAGCTCACCTCTTCACTCATTTTTTTCACTTCTGAGATTTCAATTAGGCAACGTCTAAGATGCGACAAGCCTTTTTAAGTCTAAAAAAGGTCTTCGAATGAAAAGTCGTCCTGCACTGTCTGAGCTACCTGCCAAAGAAGAGTTCAGTAATATTCCACTGCACTCAAGCAGCGACAAGTGAGATGTATAACCTTAAAATACAGGTAATGGAAAGAAATAGGGATGTGCCTGAAAGGTAATCTCAAATTCATCATGCCAGACTTTCAAAGGCAAACTTTAAACAAAATGGAGGCAGTTGAAAATACCTGTTCATTTTGCTTGTGAGAAAAATGAATCTCTCATGCCTTTAGGCAGTCAAGAATTATGTGGTCTTTCAAACTGAAGAAGTGCAAACTGTAGAGGATCAGACTGAATAAATGTTAAGATGCCAGTCTCACAAGGCCGTTGGTACACAATCCACTCAGTAACCATATTTCTGAGATGGCTCATGCAGGACTGTTCATTTGTTATAGTTATTTACACCTCACAGAGGAAGCTAATAAAAACAAAAGGTGGTGTTTATGCATTAAGGAACAGGGATGGACACAAAGGAAGTATTTGCAGGAGAACACAAAACAGGGTTGAACAGTTCGGTCACTTTAATGATACCTGAAAATAAAAAAATGAAAGTTCAGGTAATTCTTTCAAGTGGATCGTACAATAACAAAGATCAATGTTTTCTACTTAGCATCTTTCAAATGTTCAAAAAATAGTTACCAGGGCTCCTTCTCTCAATTTATGCAAAGACTTGAAATGCAAGATTCATTTAGTCCTCACAGCAGGAAGAAGTCTCCTTATCATGTAAAGGCAGAGGCAAGTAACTATGTGGAAGAATGGTTTCCTAAATCTGCAAAGACAATTCCAGCGCTATCATCATGGCTGCTGCAGAATGGATGAGGGTCGTACCCAACATCCAAAAGTGACATTTATACATCTGACAAAGACCTTTTCTGTAAGGACCTGCAAAGACTCACACTTCCTAAATACTGTTTTTCTGTGCATTTTATTCAGGGCAAGCTGAAGCAGAGAGGCAGAGCAGGCTCTGCTTGTGGAGTAGCCCCTCGGTCAGTATGAAGGGCAAGTTAATGCCAACAGACTCCATCTCCATTGCAAAAGTTCCTGCCATGGTGTTAAGCCAATAAAAAACTGAGACAACTGATCTAATCCCAACAGATCTCAAAGCTGAGATCTGAGTTGGTGTGTGACTATATTTTGGCTTGGTAAGCATATGGTACATATAATTTTCAAGATTTAGTATATTACATATAATACCCCAAAAATAATTTGTAAGCACGGGTTATTGTTGGGTCTAAGCCTATAATCCTCTTTGGGAGTAAGATGCCACTTCATAAATAGCTTCTTGAATCCAAGAAAAAAAAAGAAAAAAAAAAGGCTTACAATATTACTCACTGATTAAACATGCACAGAAAGCCAATATAAGACTACATACCCTTTAAGCTCTGAATTAAGTTCAGTTAACTTAAAAAAAATAAAAAATAATAAAATAAACAAACAAACAAAAAAAACTGGAACCAACCTCATATATGGTGAGCATGTAGAAATGCATGCTATTGCAAAAAGAAGAGAAGGATACATAAAAAGCTGATTCTAATGGTCACCTTTACTATAACATCCTTTTATAATATCACAAAATGAACAGAAAAAGTATCCTTGTGTTCTATATAAAAAAAAAAAAATCGATCCCCTTCCTAAAAGACTCCCTTTTATTACCCTATTGAATTTTTTATTTTGCATCTTGATTCCTTCCTTTTCTGCCTTTTTTTTAAAACCCACTCCTAAAACTGCGTAGCAAAACTGCACATCAGGTATACAAAATTGCCTAGGAGATATGAGCTAAAAGACCCATCAATATATGCAATCCTTAAGCTAGCTTTTTCTCCTAACAAAGTATGTTATCTTAGTTACAGCAGAGATGACAAAATTTGGATTTACACCACCCATTGAAAAGGCTTTGTTCCACAAATAATTAAGCATCCTACCCATCTTGCCTCCAAATACATTATTTTCTAATGCCACGTATGTTGAAGGCCTCAAAACACTAAAACAGAGCAAGAACTTGGACCTCTTGTGCAGCCAGAATTAAAACAGAGACAGAAATGAAAATGCTGGGGGGAAAGGACTTAATGCCTGGTTACAAAAATGTGTAAGAACCTGAGAAGAGAAGCAAAGAGCTGAAGGAGGAGGGAAGAGGAAAACTCAGCAAGGTCAAGGATGAGCTCATCCTAGGGAACAGTGGAGGCCGTGAGGGTCCAGCATGCAGAGCTGCAGCAGATACCCACACTGAAGCTGGTGAGCTCTGTATTAACGTTTACCTTAGCAGCATGGTTGTCTTGCCTGTCTTATTATTGGCCAATAAATAACTGCTGTATGCTAATAAATGCTGTAAAATCCTTCTTGCAAGTCTATTTGGATGGTAAAAGATGTTCAAATAAAAGTGACACAGGGGAGGAAGGGTTACCGCAAGTAAAAATATAACTTGATTAAAGAGCTCTTTATCAGTTTGGATGTACAAATACTGTAGGTGCTAAAACAGGAAAATGAACCTGGTCTTCAGGTTTAATTAAAACCAGTCAACTTTGCAACACAGAAAAATCACTTCTTAATTTTAAG